GCGGAAATTCTAAATTTCTATGTTTATGAACAGGGGCGGAGCCACCAAGGGACTAGGGTAGTCCCCGGCCCATCCTGACTTCATCTGAGGTGTGAACCTCATGGAAGAAAATAAAGCAAACGACGTCGTTAAGCTGTTTTGATTTTAATCTTTTTTGCTGTCTAATGAAACGATAAGTTTGGCAAGGGAGTTTTAAAAGAGATGTGCAATTTTAAATGGAAAAAGCAACCCCACTTCTGGTTCAATTCTCTCACCTAACAGTAATATACACCCTATAATTTTCTAAAGCAACCCACCTTCTTTATTTGCAGACATCTCCCCCTTTTCCTTCTTTTTTCTACTTCTTTGTATTTTCTTTAGCCTTCCACAACCTACCTCTTACTTGGTTGTCTGGGTTTTTACATTTTTTTTCTTCTAGTATTGAATTCAAGAGATTTTTTTTTAGTTTTGTGAGGATTACACAAATTGCATATGTCAACATGTTATGAATTCAACTTTTTACACACACACACACACACACACACACACTTGTGAAAGGCCCCTCCTCATTCAGAATTCTGGCTCCGCCACTGTTTATGAATTCAAACAAGAGAATCAATGCATGTCAATTTGTAAATTCTGATTTTTTCCCAAATTCTATGTTTATTTCCCTCGTCCAAACATGTGTTAGGGTTTTGTTCCTTTGTTGCTTTTCCTGATTTCAGCTTTTGCTCTTTTCGTTTTGGCCGTTCTTTCTTCCAATCCTCTGTTTCCTATGATATCCGTGCTTTCTTTCGCGGAAAGGGTTGCTAATTTTCGTGGTTTAAGGGATTTTGTGGTTGCCGGGCCGTTGTGTGTCTATTTAGATTTGGGATTTTTTGCGTTCCGAGGGTTTTGACATCTTTAATTGGGGTAAAGGATTCCTGTTGTTTCCCTTTTTTTCCATTTGGGATTTCTGGGTTGTGGCTGGGTTTTTGGTCGATTTACACCTCTTTTATAATCATTTTCTTTTGGTTTTTATTTTTGGTTTTTCCTTTGTTTTGATGAAACCTTAATCGTTTCCTTTTACTGTCAATTGTGGTGCTCTCTTGGGTTTTCCTTGTTAAAGGAGAATTTTGCGTTTTTGTTCTTCAGTTGGCAAATCTCTGATTTGCTGGTATTTGCAACGTTGCTGTAATTTTTTGGGTATTTTTTGCGCTTCTGCTTTTTTTCCGATTCGGACATGGATTGGTAAATATTGGATTTAAATGGATTCGTAGTTTTTTATGAGAGGAGTTGTTGAGATTGTGTGAAGGTTTGTTTTTCTGGGTTTTATGCTGCGGGGGTTACAAACACGAAGAGGAGGAGAGGAAACAGTAGTTTAGAATTATTTGCGTGTGCTTTTTTCTGGTTATGCTTTTTTCCAGTTTGGATTAAAATGGATTTTGAATTTTTGAGAAGAAATTAAAAGGGTCGTTGGAATTTTGGAAGCCTTTGTGTTATTGGTGAACACGCAGACAATGTTGAAAATTTGTGGTAAAAGACTAATGTTTGTATATAAAAATTGCAGCCATGTGGTAAAGAACAATGGTTCATTAAGCTAAATGTCAATGGACTAATCCATGTGTTGACTGTGTTGACAAGGCACAAATTTTTTTGACATGTTTGGGTTTCATCTCATGTGGATTAGTGGAAAAACAAAATGATATTGCTCTGACAGAATGTTGGTCGCTTACAGGTCTGAAGACTAATACCATACTTGACAAATCTCAAAATTACTGAGCACCGGTCAACGTTATACAGTCAAGGACCTAAAAAAGTTTCCCTCAAACCAGGAGGCCAATCACAGCGCGACACGTGTCGACATCAGAAGCCAATAATAGCGCGACACGTGTCAACATCAGAAGCCAATCACAACACGACACGTGTCAATGTCATAATGAAACTAGAAACTCTCTTCTATAAATAGAGATCATTCTCTCACAATATTTCCTAATGTCAATTGTACTAAATCATTCACTAGTACTCACAAAAGGAAAGCTTGAACCTATGTACTTGTGTAAACCCTTCACAATTAATAAGAACTCCTCTACTCCGTAGACGTAGCCAATCTAGGTGAACCACGTACATCTTGTATTTGCTTCCTTGTCTCTATCCATTTACATACTTATCCACACTAGTGACCGGAGCAATCTGGCGAAGGTCACAAACTTAACACTTTCTGTTGTACCAAAGTCCTCACTGATTTTGTGCATCAACAACTAATATTACGAGAATATATAAACATAAAGCAACCAGCACACCATGGAGCTAATGTCCTATGAAAAGGATAGAAAATAGATATCAGACAGGAAGGAAGAAGATCAGAAAAGGCAACCGAAACACAACTATTTAGACAACATAAATCCATTTTCACGAAGCACTTAGCACAGACGTCGAAAGATACACCTATTGACTGAAATACAAAAAAGGATAAAGAACTCTAACCTTCCTCGACGACATAAGAACCCAGTTAAAAGAAATCTACTTAGCCCTCAATGAAATCCTTGTTTTGGGCAAGGTAATAACAACAAAACCTCTTCATCCGGCTAGTTTATGCATTCAAAGTCGGGATGAAGATCAGTGGCGGAGCCAAGAATTTAAACTAGAAGGGGCCTTTAAATCATATAAAAAAATTAGACAAAAAATATAGCAATATAACTAATGAGAGAAAATTAAGGGTTCCTTTTTTGTATTGGCATGGAAAATTTTAATCAAACAAGACTGGTAGATCTTTAACATGTATGAAAATTTAGTATTAAATAATTATATCATAAAAACAGAACTTGTTACGAGATTAACAATAAAGTTAACATTAATTTCAAACCAAAATTTAAAATTATGGCTCAATACTATTATTATGAGATTTTTCTTCAACATAAATTAACCTTGTTTCGTATCAACTAACCAAAAAAATATTTGCTGATAAAGAACTTGGAAGAGGTTCACCAGCAAGTTTCGAACCCCTGACATGCAGGAACAGAAAAACCCTTAGAACCACCGAGCCGCATATTCTTTAGTTACCAAACCAACAGATAAAGTATATAAACTAATATTTCAGGATAGGCCCGTGCCCATCTTGGTCTCCATGTGGCTCCGCCACTGATGAAGATCACACACATACATACAGAACCATACAAAAACTTGACCATGAGAACTTAGGAAGTACGCAATGTCCTTAATGTACTAAGGATTAAAAGTAGATACAGAAACCAGTCATAAACACCATCAGGAAGCAATCCACTCAAACAATGAAAGATAATAAAAAAAATTAACAATACCTTTTATTCTATTACAAATTGAGCATCCAACCAGAAACCAATAGGCAACGGGTGGAGACGCCCAAGATCATTCAAACTATTTATGTAATGCTTCAATTCCCGACAAGGGATTCACACTCTCGAAACAATACCCGCTCCAAGAAGCAATATACTCTCAAAAATTTCAACTTATTAATTTTGTAATAAACACGAAGAAAACTTGTCATTTTCTCACTAACCCTTTTCTGTTCATTTTCATTTTCACTATATTCGTAATTAAGCAAAACTATAAATCAAATTGAAAAACTATAATCTGCTCCTCTGAAGAATCCAAATTTTGCATAAAGTATATGTATTTACATTAATAATGATAAGTGGAGTGACTATCCTTAATCTCTAACTAAATTCTTCATAAATTTTCTATTTCGATGAACTGTAGAAGAGTAAGCTATTCTTTTTTTTAAATTACGCTGACCGGGAGATGTTGAAGCTGCATAGATTATTTGAATTGTGTTTGAGCCTAGGATCAGGAATTTTGTCAGAAACAAGGCTAATAACTAGAGGGCAAGCTTGTATCCTTTGGGTTATTGGGACCTAACTTTCTATATCATCAATTCAATATAGATCGCATAACATATATATTATAGTATAATATATATTTATTATACTTATATATGAATCGAACAAGGCATATCGTAACTTCTTTGCATGTCGTTTCCACCCTTTTTTTTAGGAAAAAACTTATGATGAGCATCTATTTGAGTCGAGCATTTCCAAGATCTAATTCAAGTTTTTTCTTAGCTGGACTCCCGCTTCCAGTCGTTGGCCTTTTTGACATATAGTATAGTTCCACAATGCGCATTGACTTGTTTTAGCAAAAACATAAAAATTAATACTAAAAACATGAATTTTGCTAAGGAATTAATATAAAACCAATGCATATGAGAGAATTATAATCAAGTCAATACAAATTAATGAATAAATCTAAATGAATTAGAGCTCAATCCAATCAGAAATCCAGCAAATAAGCATCGCAAAGATTAAATTTAAACCAAAAACAAATAAAGCCATACAAAGGTTAAGAATTTATATTCGGATTGAAGAAAGAGATTACGTACCGACATGAATTCAATCAAAAGGGAAAGAACTTTTTTATTTTTCGGGAAAATGAAATGACTCGGAAAGCAGAGAGAGACGTTGGGCCAGAAATGGGCCTATAATTGCATTATGAAATCTGGGAAAGCATATGAGGCTTTAACGATTTTTGTTTCGGGATGAACGGCGTTATTTTGCTGACGGGAACGGAAAGATGATTCGGAACGCCGTTAAGTCGGCGTCAGCCCTGACGTGGTTTGTGCGTTTAGAATGAAATTGAGAGTCAAATAAAAAATGGAAAATTGCACAATCACTATCCCACATAAAATCCACGAATAAAATCGAACCAGTTTTTCACAAATTCACGTTTTAGTACTGATGTATTACTACCCTCAATTTTCCCTAGAACTCAGTTAAAACGTATAATCGTCACCAATTTATTACATATCAATTAGATGAATAATGCACCTTTTGAATAAGTGACGAAAGCTTGGTATAAGGATTTGATTGACCAAAATTTGTTGGCACATATTATCTACTTTCAGGAAGACAAGTTATGGTAAAGGAAGTCATTTAGTGGTCATCATTTGCATTTCCATTTCTTTGTTGATTGCTTATTCTCGATGCATTAAATAAAATGCATTACTAGCTCATAAGTCAAAATTTGCTAAAATAAAATAAAACATTAGGTGAAAGTGGCCTGATTTACAAAGTTATAATACAAATCAGTGAAAAGGGGCCAAGCAAACATAGCAATCGTTTACCAAAAAAAAAAAAAGCAAAATATAGGAATCCGGGAGAAGAAATGTTGGCCAAGAAATATCCAGGTTGTCAGCCAATTGAAGACCTCCCAAAGCAGCCACTCCTCAACCCCCAAAACCTTGACCCAACCCAAAATATGTGGATTACTTTACTTTACAAGAATAAAGATGATTAATTACCCAAAAAAAAAAGAATAAAGATGATTAATAATAATAATAATATTAATATTAAAACATTCCTCGAGAGATGATACCTGGACCATCAGCTTCATATCAGTGTGCCATCTATCTGTATGCAAGGGATGTGGGATATTTTGTGCCAGTAGCGTCCTTTTCCTGGTTGGCATCTCTCTTTTAGCACTGGACACTCATAGATCCAAAGTTTCGTAAGTGAAGGAGGCAGACCCTCCTCTGGAATGGATGCTAGCTTTGGACAATAGGAGAGTTTCAAAGATTGAAGGGAGGGGAGGAATTGAAAGCCCTTGCTGCTCAGTTTCTTCAGATTCGGAAATCCTTTTATTATGAGATGAGCGAGAAATTTGAGCGTCTCCATCCGTACCATGACGGGTGGAAACGACACCGTATTCGGGTCATCACTGTCGATATACAAGTATGTAAGAGAGGTGAGTCTGTGCAACCCCCACTCCAACTCCCACAATGACTTACAGCTCTTGACCTTTCCAATTGCAAGTGATGTTAGGTTGGGAGGAAAAGTCAAACCTTCACGGTAGTCGATGCTCAAGTACTCCAGAGAGTTGAGATTGTGCATGTCTTCGCGCAATGCCTCCAATTTGTCGCAACCTCTTATATAGATCTCTCTCAGGTTGGAGGGTCTTCTCCCCCCACTCAGTCTCGGGATGGAAACAAGACTTCCACAAATGAAAATATATAGCTGTTGAAGATTGCTGAGGTGGCATAAGCCATCCGGTAAGGATTTCAGATTTTGGCAATTCCAGATCATAATGTATTCAAGACAATAATTAGTGTTGTCGTGGAAGAACCTGTCCTCTGCGATTAGCTCCAGTTGTTCACAACCAAGTATCTCAAGGTGTTTAAGTGTCCTGAGAAGCTGGCCACTCAATGATAACGACGTCAGAGATTCACATCCTTCGATCTTCAAGTACTCAAGACAACTATGAGAAGAAGACGACCAAGAAGAACCAACAGCCTCCTCATCCACTAGTGATTTCAAAATTTTGCACTTTCTTATCTCTATTCTTCTGAGATTTTGGGGAATCTGGAATTTTGCAAAATATATCAACGAATCGCACTCTGTAATCAGGATGTCTTTAAGAGAAGGTGGCAGACCAACATCTGTAAAAGAAACTAGACTTGAACATTCGTGTATGCGAAGCTCTTGAAGAGACGACAGCTGATTTAACCCTTTTGGTAGCTTCAAAAGATTTTCGCACTTTCTTAACTTTAGAAATTCAAGCTTGCAATCCAATATTTGCAATTGCAGCAACTCCTCTGCTTCTTCTCCCAATTCTTCAACTAGACGAGAGTTGTCTTCAATTTCCAAACGGCCAAGAGAAGTCAACCACTGCAATAATCTAGCCTCATTCTTCAGTGAAGACGTCAGCTTCTCACATCCATTGATCTTCAAATCTCTAACCTTGCTTAGTCCCTTTCTGAACAATTCCCCTGTTGGCCGAGACATCACCTCCGAAATGTTTGAAATGCACAAGGACTCTAATAACTCAAACTCAACCTTAGCAGCCGTATGTTCCAACACTTTACAACCGTCAATGTTTAGCTGACGAAGCTGTTTGTAGTTGGCAATCGAAACCGTCAATTCCTCACATTTAACAATTTCAAGTTTGGCTAACAAATCGAGCTTCTCTGGCAGTTTACCTTCCAACTTAGAACATTCCTTGATTGAAAGCCTTTTTAGGCAAGGGAAAACACCACTTCCGTGATCCAGTTGGAAAGGAAGCCACACCTTCCAATGCCGCATATTCACAAACTTGAGAATCTCTAACAGCGGAAAAGGCATGACACACTCACCATAAAACTCAGCACCAACACTTTCGACTGCATTCATTCCTCTAATATAAAGCTCTTTGAGACGAGGCAATTGTCCGAGAGGTGGCAACGATAAACAATTGTTACATTCCTCTAAGCGCACAAGCACCATATTAGAGAACAATGGACCTCCAACCCATGATGAAAATTCCTCTCTGGCATAACCCGTGATGGTGAGCTCCTTGAGCTTTGTATGAGGCTGTAACATGTCAAGCACAGCGGATTCTGTTTCTCTCGTGTCGCTTGAATAATACCATTTTAGGACCAGTGAATCAAGCCTCTCCTTGCATTTCAAGTTGGCCCTCCTGGCATCCTCGACATTAGTCACATTCTCCAATCCTGAGAGGCACAATGTCCCTCGGAGATGCAATAGGGGCCCTATCTCTCTTATCCCTGAATGATCACTTCCTTCGCTCACCACAAAAAGAGGCAGTGATTGTAGATTTGTCAATCGACCTAGTTGCGAAGGCATTCCTTTCAACGAAGATGCATATGAGTTGTTGAGATGGCGCAAATTAATTAGATTACTCATGTTCGCGGGCAATGACTTCAATTGAGAACAACCTTCCAATATCAATGTTTGCAAGTGGTAAAGAGTGCTTGTTGATTTAGGCAAACTGGCTATATATGTATAGGAAAGGTCAAGATACTGTAACAACCTCAAATCACCGATTGACTCTGGCAGCTCAGTTATTTTGTAGCCATTGAACGAGAGCACTCGTAAGTATTGCAACTGTGGTAATAGCTCAAAAGTAACCTTACGAGGCAAATATGTGTGCCATACCCTGGAATTTGAAAGTGAAAGTGGCAGGAATGTTCGCAAATGTTCAGCTTTTGGAAAGGCCTCAAATCTCGTAAATCCATCAAATTGACCAGCAATGAAAGACGAATGGCGAGCCCTTCGAAAGCAAGTGCTTGGCAAGTTATCACCTCGCTTATCTTCCAACCTAAAACATATTTCACCTGCTGCCCATTGTGCTAAATCATTAACGAGGTCATGCATTACATATCGTGAATTGTTTTTGCTTGATTCTTGAAACAATGACCTTGCTAATAGCTCTCGAAAGTAGTCGCGGCCCAAGTCCTCCATTTGTTTATTGTCATCATGTTTTTGTTGAATCAAACCCTCTGCCATCCACAAAAGAATGAGCTGCTTCTCCCCAAATTCATAGTCATTTGGAAGTATTGAGCAATATGCAAAACACCTCTTCAAATTTGATGGAAGATAGTGATAGCTCAACTTTAGTACGGGGAGAATGCCACTCTTGTCTGCTAGATTCCATAACTTGTTGTTCAATATTTCTCCCCACTCATCTTTTTCTTTGCAACGTAAAAGACCACCGAGAGTCCTTGCAGCTAATGGTAAGCCACGACATTTTTCAACAATTCTTGTCTTAATTAAACCATAATTTACCGGCTTTCCATTATTAATTCCCCTGAACGCATGTCGCTCAAATATTTCCAAACAATCACCATCTGCCATACACTCCAAATTATGAACTCCAGTGGCTCCCATAATCTTTGCAACATTCACATCACGGGTTGTCACAATAATCTTACTTCCTCCTGCTCCGATGCCAAAAGGGGATTGAAGTCTTGTCCAGAGATCGTATAGATCAGAGTCATCTTTGTTCCAGATATCATCTAAAACGATTAAAAACTTTTTTCCTCTTAATTGCTCACTCAAATCATGCTGCATTTTACTAAACCCCTCCACTTGGACGGGTCGGGATGTGATTGATTCAAGAATTTCCTTTGTCACTCGCACAACATTGAAGTCATCAGACACAGATACCCACACCTTTAGCTCAAACTCCTTCATGGCATCATTTTTGTGGTTGAATACAAGTTGAGCAAGTGTCGTCTTCCCAACTCCGGGCATGCCAACTATAGCAACTACACCAAAATCGGTAGACTTTTTCAACAATTCAATAATCTTCCCTTTGTCACCATCTCTTCCAACAACAAGCTTTTCATCTAACACACCTGAACTTGGTAAACTTCGAGATTCCTTAGCAGACGTCCCAGTATCTTTCAAGCCAAACTTATCTTTCCGTTCAGATATGTCTTGCAACCGCTTCGTAATCTTCTTCATTTCGGAGTTCATATCAAAACTCAATTTAACTTTATAAAATGATCTCCGTACCTTCCTGCTTGTGCTGGCTTGATCACGTCCCTCTATCATGCGCTTCAACATTTTAACGGCAAATTTGTCCAACATGTCTTCGATATCATAGGCCAGGTCTCTGAGATCATCCAGCCACAGTTTCACACCACCTTCAGTCAGTTGCCTTTCCTCGGCGTCGCTCAGCACCGCTCCGATTGTAGACAACGTGGTCCTCCACCTCTCCAGCTTCTGTCCGACCCCCCGGACGTTTCCAACGTACTCAAGAATCTCGCGAGGGGTCAACCTGTCGAGCAGCAACTGTAGAAACGCCGCAAGAAAAACCTCTCCCAGTGCCATATTAAGAGTGAGGATTACTCCAAGCAGTTAAAGAAAGACCGAATCGCTCTTGAGCAATATTGAGGTGCAGAACTGTACAAATTAAGTGAAGAAACAAATGAATAAAAAGTGGTTCAAATAAAATGAAAAACAACTAATGTATTATTCGAATAAACAATAAGAACTTACATGGAAGTTCAAATCTAACTCTGCTTGTGATCAACAAAAGACTCGATGAAGGGAAGATCAACAGTCAAATACTAGTTCCTTGGAAATTTGGAAGCTTGATCTGTCGAGACTCAGAAATAGTCACAACAACAACAACAACAACAACAACAAAGCCTTTTCCCACTAAGTGGGGTCGGCTATATGAATCCTAGAACGCCATTGCGCTCGGTTTTGTGTCATGTCCTCCGTTAGATCCAAGTACTCTAAGTCTTTTCTTAGAGTCTCTTCCAAAGTTTTCCTAGGTCTTCCTCTACCCCTTTGGCCCTGAACCTCTGTCCCGTAGTCACATCTTCGAACCGGAGCGTCAGTCGGCCCTCTTTGCACATGTCCAAATCATCGGAGCCGATTTTCTCTCATCTTTCCTACAATTTCGGCTACTCCTACTTTACCTCGGATATCCTCATTCCCAATCTTATCCTTTCTCGTGTGCCCACACATCCCACGAAGCATCCTCATCTCCGCTACACCCATTTTGTGTACGTGTTGATGCTTCACCGCCCAACATTCTGTGCCATACAACATCGCTGGCCTTATTGCCGTCCTATAAAAAATTTTCCCTTGAGCTTCAGTGGCCTACGACGGTCACACAACACGCCGGATGCACTCTTACACTTCATCCATCCAGCTCGTATTCTATGGTTGAGATCTCCATCTAATTCTCCGTTCTCTTGCAAGATAGATCCTAGGTAGCGAAAACGGTCGCTTTTTGTGATCTTCGCTAGATTGCTCCGGTCATTAGTGTGGATAAGTATATAAATGGATAGAGATAGGAAAGCAAACACAAGATGTACGTGGTTCACCCAGATTGGCTACGTCCACAGAATAGAAGAGTTCTCATTAATTGTGAAGGGTTTACACAAGTACATAGGTTCAAGCTCTCCTTTAGTGAGTACAAGTGAATGATTTTGTACAAATGACATTAGGAAATATTGTGGGAGAATGATCTCGTAATCACGAAACTTCTAAGTATCGGAGTGTGGTGTCGTCTTGACTTGCCTTATCTGTCTCATAGGTAGATGTGGCATCTTCTCTGAAAGTACTCTTCCTCCATCCAGGGGTGGTATCTTTAACTGGTGGAGATGCACAAGGTAATGTATCAATTTCACTTGAAGCTTACTTGTAGTCTCAGGCTTGGTCAAGCGCGATACAAACCATGTAGTAGGAGTCCCCCAAGTCGCCGAGCTAGGGGGTCTGCTGAAAGAGGTGACAGACAAGGTAAGCAATCAGAGCTCCGACTGATTGTTCACCTTCTCCCCATCTTGCAGCAGCATGAAGGATAAAGAGAAGAAAAATGAGAAGAGATGATATGAGATACTTTTGCTTTTGAAGAAGTAACTTTCCACAGGCTTATTCTTGAACTGAGCTGGAGGGTTTTCTGGTTTCCTCCAGAGTATAAGGCCGACTGAAGAATTTGAGGGTCAAAACAAGTCCATCAAATCTAGAGTACGTTCCACCCTACTGATATGGGATACTTTTGCTTTTGACAGAGTAATGGGTGTATCGGCACGTGTGCTGTTACGCTTGTCTCCACATGCTTCCTTGTATCCTTCGCACTTGCCCTATCTGTTCCTCAAGCAGATGCAGAATCTTCCCTGGAAACATAAGATGTTGAAGATGAGTACTCGAGAGCAATGCCAGGTAAGTAATCAGGTAAGGGGTTCCAGGCAGTCAGTTCCTGGCTGGAAGCTTGATTCCAAGTGCTGACTGATTGCTCTCTTTCTCCTTGTCTTGCAGGTAAAAACAAGGCCAAAGGAAAAGACAGGGAAAAAGCATGATATGAGATACTCTTGCTTTTAACCCTGATGATATGAGATATTCTTGCTCTAGTATAGCTTGTTTGCAGAGGTATTATTATCGGGGGGAAAGAAAGCTGAATATTTCGAAAGGCTTCGTTGGGAGTGCCCTCTCAGATATGATGAAGGGTTGAGCATTTTTGCAGGTCTGCCTGTCCGTTGGGGATGGAGGTCGACATATATAGGAGTCTCCCTAACAACAAGTAGTAATGCTATTCCTTTACCCTGCTTGGTCATAGCACGGTAGTGGGAGCTGCCAGTTGCAATGGTACTGTTCCTTTACCCTCTCTCTTCGCTTTTGAGAAAGTAGTCATGTTGGGAGTCTGGCTCTCGAGATTCGGAGGACGGTGCCTCTTCGATTTTGGAGCAAGCAATCTTGTTGGGAGTGTTTTCTCGAAAGTGAGTAAAGGTTGGGCATGTTTGCTAGTCTACCTTGCCACGAAGCACAGAGGTTGACACACACAAGGACTTTCCAATTATCCAGCAGTGGTACTGTTCCTTTACCCTTGTGGGTAATAATATGGTAGCTAGACCTTCAACATTTATGTGTCTAAACTTTGTTAGTGCTGTTTCTTTGCTATTCTTTTACCTTTCTTGGTCAGAGCGATGTAGTGGGAGCTGCAAGCTTCACGTGCTCAACTTTGGCAGAGAACTTTGGCAAAGTTATCTGTGGTACCCATGAGCTATTGTTGCGTGTGGGAAGTGGGTGATTGAACAGTAAGATTCATGTGCTTTCTACTTCACCAGAAGTCTTCGACAGAATGCCCATAATTTCTGCAAAGCTGAGTGTGCGTGTGACAGGTGCTGACAAGGCTAGAAAAGTAGGTGCCTCTTCGATTTCTGAGATCGGCCCTCGTGGTCTCTGAGCAGCCCAGCTTTTGAGAAAGCGAGCGCCTCTTCGATTGATTCGGAGAACGATGCCTCATCGATTTTTGAGAAAGCAATCATGCTGGGGGTCTGGCTCTCGAAGATTCGGGGAGCAGTGTCTCTTCGATTTTTGAGAAAGTAATCACGTTGGGAGTCTGGCTCTCGAGATTCGAAGGGTGGTGCCTCTTCGATTTTGGAGCAAGCAATCTTGTTGGGAGTGTTTTCTCGAATGTGAGTAAAGGTTGGGCATGTTTGCTAGTCTACCTTGCCACGAAGCACAAAGGTTGACACACAGAGACTTTCCAATTATCCAGCAATGGTACTGTTCCTTTACCCTCTCTTCGATTTTTAAGAAAGTAGTCATGTTGGGAGTCTGGCTCTCGAGATTCGGAGGACGGTGCCTCTTCGATTTTGGAGCAAGCAATCTTATTGGGAGTGTTTTCTCGAATGTGAGTAAAGGTTGGGCATGTTTGCTAGTCTACCTTGCCACGAAGCACAGAGGTTGACACACAGGGACTTTCCAATTATCCAGCAGTGGTACTGTTCCTTTACCCTTGTGGGTAATAATATGGTAGCTAGACCTTCAAAATTTATGGGTCTAAACTTTGTTAGTGCTGTTTCTTTGCTATTCTTTTACCCTTCTTTGGTCAGAGCGATGTAGTGGGAGCTGCAAGCTTCACGTGCTCAACTTTGGCAGAGAACTTTGGCAAAGTTATCTGTGGTACCCATGAGCTATTGTTGCGTGTGGGAAGTGGGTGATTGAACAGTAAGATTCATGTGTTTTCTACTTCCCCAGAAGTCTTCGACAGAATGCCCATAATTTCTGCAAAGCTGAGTGTGCGTGTGACGGGTGCTGACAAGGCTGGAAAAGTAGGTGCCTCTTCGATTTCTGAGATTGGCCCTCGTGGTCTCTAGGGAGCCCAGCTTTTGAGAAAGCGAGCGCCTCTTCGATTTCTGAGATCGGCCTTCGTGGTCTTTGAGCAGCCCAACTTTTGAGAAAGCAAATGCCTCTTCGATTTCTGAGATCAACCCTCGTGATCTCTAAGCAGCCCAGCTTTTGAGAAAGCAAACGCCTCTTCGATTTCTGAGCAGGCGCCTCTTCGATTTCTGAAGCTCCGTCGAGTGCAGATTTTTATAGAGGCTGACATTAAGTTCCAAAGCACACTTGAATCTCCACCAGTAGAAGCTTCATTCTTGCACTTCTAAGATCTTGATTTGTCCGACCTCTTCTCTCTTCAACACCTTTGAAAATGTCTGGCCCCTCCGACCGTCGTTTTGACTTGAACCTTGTTGAAGAGGCAGCCCCGCCTTCTCCAGACAACATATGGCGCCCATCCTTCGTCTCCCCTACTGGTCCTCTTACCGTTGGGGATTCCGTGATGAAGAATGATATGACCGCTGCGGTGGTGGCCAGGAACCTTCTCACTCCCAAGAGATAACAGACTACTTTCCAAACGGTCTGATGAGTTAGCTGTTAAGGATTCGCTGGCTCTCAGTGTTCAGTGTGCAGGTTCTGTGTCTAATATGGCCCAACGCCTATTTGCTCGAACCCGCCAAGTTGAATCCTTGGCGGCTGAAGTGATGAGTCTCAAACAGGAGATTAGAGGGCTCAAGCATGAGAATAAACAGTTGCACCGGCTCGCACATGACTATGCTACAAACATGAAGAGGAAGCTTGACCAGATGAAGGAAACTGATGGTCAGGTTTTACTTGATCATCAGAGATTTGTGGGTTTGTTCCAAAGGCATTTATTGCCTTCGTCTTCTGGGGCTGTACCGCGTAATGAAGCTCCGAATGATCAACCTCTGATGCCTCCTCCTTCTAGGGTTTTGTCCAGTACTGAGGCTCCAAATGATCCCCCTCCGGTGCCTTCTCTTTCTGGGGCTCTACCGACTGCTGAGACTTCTCCTAAGCAACCTTTGTGAAGGCTCCGTCTTGTGTGTTTATTTTGACTCATGTATATGTACATATTTGTAGCTGATCGGGGATATCAATAAATAAGCTTTCCTTCATTTCAACGTATTGTGTTAAATACACCAAAGCCTTCTTCGCTAAGTTCTTTGAATTTTCTTTTGTTGAAGCTTGTATGTTGAAGCTTTCTGAGTGGAGCATGTAGGTTGGGGTAGTGTTCCCTTAATTTCCCGAGTGAGGAAAACTTCTCGGTTGGAGACTTGGAAAATCCAAGTCACTGAGTGGGATCGGCTATATGAATCTTAGAACGCCATTGTGCTCGATCCTGTGTCATGTCCTTCGTTAGATCCAAGTACTCTAAGTCTTTTCTTAGAGTCTCTTCCAAAGTTTTCCTAGGTCTTCCTCTACCCCTTCGGCCCTGAACCTCTGTCCCATAGTCGCATCTTCTAATCGGAGCGTCAGTAGGCCTTCTTTGCACATGTCCAAACCACCGTAACCGATTTTCTCTCATCTTTCCTTCAATTTCGGCTACTCCTACTTTACCCCGGATATCCTCATTCCTAATCTTATCCTTTCTCGTGTGCCCACACATCCAACGAAGCATCCTCATCTCCGCTACACCCATTTTGTGTACGTGTTGATGTTTCACCGCCCAACATTCTGTGCCATACAGCATCGCCGGCCTTATTGCCGTCCTATAAAAATTTTCCCTTGAGCTTCAATGGCATACGGCGGTCACACAACACGCCGGATGCACTCTTCCACTTCATCCATCCAGCTTGTATTCTATGGTTGAGATCTCCATCTAATTCTCCGTTCTTTTGCAAGATAGATCCTAGGTAACGAAAACGGTCGCTTTTTGGTATTTCTTGATCTCCGATCCTCACCCCTAACTCGTTTTGGCCTCCATTTGCACTGAACTTGCACTCCATATATTCTGTCTTTGATCGGCTTAGGCGAAGACCTTTAGATTCCAACACTTCTCTCCAAAGGTTAAGCTTTGCATTTACCCCTTCCTGAGTTTCATCTATCAACACTATATCGTCTGCGAAAAGCATACACCAAGGAATATCATCTTGAATATGTCCTGTTAACTCATCCATTACCAACGCAAAAAGGTAAGGACTTAAGGATGAGCCTTGATGTAATCCTACAGTTATGGGAAAGCTTTCGGTTTGTCCTTCATGAGTTCTTACGGCAGTCTTTGCTCCTTCATACATATCCTTTATAGCTTGGATATATGCTACTCGTACTCCTTTCTTCTCTAAAATCCTCCAAAGAATGTCTCTTGGGACCCTATCATACGCTTTTTCCAAATCTATAAAGACCATGTGTAAATCCTTTTTCCCATCTATAAAGACTCAGAAATAGTCACAACTGCACAAATTAAAATGATGAGAACTTATTATTGATGCATGCGCAATCATATACAAATTTATAGTAAAAGTGAAATAATCAATTAATGGACTCCTAGTAAACATTTCTAGAGGTGACAATTTGGGACTAGAGATGGCAACAGGACGGATTCAGATCAAGGTTGCCAACATCATAACCGTATCGCCAGGTATACAATCCCTAATATAGTACTCCCAAATAATCTAATAACTTGATATTATATGTTCCAATAAAAAATAAAAAAAACTTGATATTGTATGTATAAAGCACAATAAAACACACCACATAATATTACTTAATAGGAAAATGTTGGGAAGATCACATATTTTTGTGTCACATTTATGTATCATCTAATGTGGCAACTGAGGTATACACGTCACATCAATTTATGAATTTATCTCACTGGATGTTGATTGTGTCCACCACTTGCCATATGAGATGATACACTAATATAGTATAAATATGTAGTTTTTATAGCATTACTCTTTAAATAATAAAGCATAATAAAACATACCATATATGATTGCAAAAATCATATATTAGTATACATTATTTTTCTTAAATTTTAACATGTTGAACAAATAAATGGGCAGCTTTGGGATTACCTTGCAATCCTACGTTTCAAGACTCGAACTTGCACGAATATTGGACATGATCTGTAGCAAGAAGCAGTTTCATGGGAGTCAATCAGGTCATGAGGGCACTTGTTTGCACTTATGATCAACAAATCCAGACTGAACGATGGAATAATTAAGCCTGAAAAGTGCACAGATTATATAGATGGTTATTGATAAAATAATTAATTAAGCATACAAACTTGAAGAAAAATGAAATAAATAAATAATGGATTTGGCATATATAGTTGCAAGAGGAACTTACCGCGTTGGAGTTTTCAGATGATGATGAAGATGAAGGGACTTGTTTCCATAGATCATTAAGATCAACAGATCTAGACTACTTTAGAGCTCTTCAATTTGCTGAGATAATTAGGTGTTGAAACTGAAAGACCTAACGAAGTCTTCTTCCTTCTGCCCAAAAGGAAAGTTAGACTCCTCTTTTTCCTCTCTCTTTATTTTTCGTGGGGTCATATTGTTTTATCATTTTGATTGCTTTCTTATCTCCTATGTCCTACACGGTTATTGCTTCTTTTTTTTTCATTTGGAGAAAATTGTGTCAATGATCTCTTAACTTTAATCAAATTAGAATAATGATCTCTTAATTAAAAATTCATGATCATTGATCTCTTAACTCATTAAAATGTGCAGCTAAAGTCCATTTCGTCAACACCGCTAAAATTTCCGTCAAAATGAGTCACGTGCTAGGCACATGAGGCCGAATCAAGAAGCAAATATGGAAAACTAAATGAGAAAATTGTAGAAATAGTTTCTCAATTTTAACTCAATTGAAGCAATGATCTCTTAACTTTAATACAATTGTAGCAATGTTTCTTTCAACTTGACTTGTTTTGACAAAAGTTATGATGAAGTTGATAAAAATGACTATAGCTGCACGTTTTGGGAAGTTAAGAAACCAATGATCATGTATTTTTAATTGATAAACTATTGCTACAATTTCTTTTTTCCTTTATGCGATCGATTTTGGAGATGGTGAACCAAACATGAAACTTCGGGTGCAAAGGTGACTCGTAAACAACTGAGCAACATTCCCTTGCAATGCTGATCATGTTATTTTGTGAGCGTGATTGGTTCAATTTTTTGTAGGCCATTGTAGGTAATGTAGAGACAATCAATTTTAAACAGTAAAAAGACACTGAAACAACTTGGGCCATACAACACAAAGAAGAAGAAAATGCTCCTGCCGACACCAGATTTACTGAAGTTACCATGTATTATGCTTTACCATCTTGTAGTTATACTACTTAATTACTCACAGAGCCATATTTGATTATGATCAATTTGAAGATGAAGAGCAAGTTTTATTAGCATATAATTAAGGGAGTTTTAACGAAACACTTATGGTACTGTTAACTTAAAAACTACATTTGTACCTTTCTATGGTACTATTCAGTACACATTTAATTGTTATTTTTCATTAAAACTAAAGTTTTTTTGGACTTTTCGTTGGTTTTCCTTATAATTAATGAACATCTAGATGTTTAAGGAAACGAGAGCAAGATTTTCATAAAGTGAAAATACTAGCTTATTATGTTAATTTTGAAGATTAAGTGAGACGAATTAAGCTTTATGGAACTGAATCAGTGACAAGTAATTTTAGACTTATGACAAGTAATTTGTGTCTTTGCCATGTGAAATTTGCTTTTCACTAATCATTCTCCCCGCAATAAAATTAGTAGTGCTAAAGTGAATCAATAAAATTAGTAGTGCTAAAGTGAACCAATTCCGCAAAATACATAAAAACCAAAAAGAAATGTTTTTTATATTAACACCCCACAAAATGTTGAATACACTCCATATTAAAATTTAATATTAAATAACTTATTCCATATGAGATGATACACTAATATATTAGTATACATATGTAGTTTTTCTAGCATTACTCTTTAAATAATAAAGCATAATAAAACATACCATATATGATTGCAAAAATCATATATTAGTATACATTATTTTTCTTGTTGTGACATATGTTCTTATCAATATGTGATTGTGTAAATCCTAAGTAGAGATAAAATAGGAATCCTTTGGGATCTAGAAGATCTTTCCTAATATACTTTGTATTACTTGGAGAGCAAGTTTCTCTCCTCCTAATTACTATAAATAAAGGCACAATGACTGGAGAATTAACACACAATTCCTCAAGTCTATTCTCCAATCTCTCTTCTTCTCTTTGCCGCATATCTCTGTAAAATATAGGCCACAACACGTTATCAGCACGCTCTTCACGCTGTGCTTAGAAGAATTTAAAGAGAATTTATTCGTCTACAATCAGGGGAGTATTACGTTTCAATTATTTTTAATTGATTAAATCTTGATTTTATTGAATTCATATATTGTTATTGATTCAATTTATTTTTCTTCTTATGTTGAACGTGATACAAGCTTGAAGATGAAAGCCGAAATTGAAGAAAAATAATTTTTTTCTGCATCAAACCAGTTCATTCATATCATCACGCAATCAGGTTCTTCCAAAACAACGGCTTTTTAACTCGATATTTTTGAAGCCCTGATCGCATGAACACATTCACCATGATGCATGACCCAACTTTACGTTTAACGTATTTTAGATTCTACATAAATTGTGTATGCCTCATAACCAAAATTGCTGCAATTATGTGAATTTGATATTTGCCATGAATTGAAACATACATATGTAAATGCATTGAAACTATTATTTTGCATATGCATCAAATTACATATGTGTTTCATTGAAATATATATACTATTGAATTATATATGCATTTAATTGAATTGAAAAAAATTGAAAAATTAGGGTTTCGAGACCCTAACCAGCGAGCTGCAGGCTTTAAGCCGCGCCGCTTTGTAAGCCATAGGGCTGCGATGCACTGGAGCATAGCTCTGCTATGCTGAGAACCCAACACGATGCCGTTTGCGTCATCCCCAACCCAGAAAACATACCCTCGCCGGAAGCCGAGACCGTGGCGTTGCCATTTTTTTTCTAGATTTCACGACCTGCAGTCGTGATAGTTTGGGGTTTCATCGTCGACTACAACGATGTTATTTGAATTTCCGTTGAAATTCAATACTAAAATCGAAGATTCCCGAATCGAATCCCTGGGTTCCACACTTCCCCGATGTCGAGGACCCTCCTCCGTCGTTATGATTAGTTCTTGGATGAACCACCATGCCTCGAACTCACTCCTAAGGTTCCCCGTGCTTCGCCGTGCCACAACCTCAGAGGACAGTCGCCTGAAGCGACACTGGTGTTCTTCCTCGGCTGTACACACCCAATAAGACTGGGTTTGTGACCCATATTTTTGGGTTGGACCCTCTCTCGGTCTTCCTCTTTCGCATTGGGCTCACGCGTCGTGACCCAAACATTTTTTTTAGGACCTCATATTTTGGCCTTACTGTTTTCCACGACCCGTATAACAAAAAAAAAAAAAATACAAATTCTTGGGCTTGCCTGAAGCAGCCCGCGCGATCAAAAAGCAAGGATTTTTTTTTTTTGGCTGCCCACAGCAGCCTAGTCTTTTTCTGTGGGCCTGCAGCCCCACCCGAAACCCCTAGCCCAATTTTTGGGCCTAGGTAGAATGGACCATATTTTTTAAAGCCACCCGTGGCTTAGTTTTTGTTTTGGGCCCCGAATTTTATTAGCCTAATTTTTTTTTAGGCCCAATGGGTTTATATTTTTTCACCCACATTTTAATTTGGCCCGAAGTCCAAATAAATTAATTCAATTATAATTGTGAACCTAAAGTTATATTTTTGCACATACTTGTTGCATATTTGCTTGCATATATATTTGTGTTTGCTTGCAGGTATTATGAACTTAAAAGTTCATACTTCCGAACCCGAAGTTTCGGAAAAGTGCCATATGAACCTGAAGTTTCTTAATGCACAACACTCATGTTGAGACTCGAAGTTCTCCATGCTTAAATCCGTTTAAACCAAACCATGTCTTAGTACCTGAATGTTCTAAATTTGTTGTTTATGGAAATTTTATTTCCTAAAACACCAATCACATTCTTGTTTCCTCCATTCAGCGTATTGTCGAACCGTAACAAGTTCGATTTCACTGATTTGGAAGTTTCGAATAGTAAACTACTTTATGTGGATACAAGACGTGAATAAGCATCCGCCATGATCCTTATTCGAAGAATTATGCCTGAAGCATATCCAATGGAAGTACCTCCCTGCTGAGGACTCCATGACTCTTCAAATCCGTTATGGACTGTTTCAAATCATGCAAAGATGAATTTTTGCCTGAAGCAAAACATGATTGAAACTGTTACGTCCATGAATAGGTACAATTCTCGTAGTCCATTTGTGAGACTCATTTTGCTCCACCTAATACATTTGGAAGAGCGAAATTGACATGGACGACCTATTGGCCGAACCCCATTGATTTTTTTTGGTTTATTTTGTGAATAATTTATTTTGTTCTCAGATTTAAGATTAGTGTTTGGATGTCACCATTATTCTCGAATAAAAGAGTTAATTAACGAAGATTACCACATGTGACTACAATTAACTCATGCTTAGGTATGTTTTGTGGGGAAGTTAGCTGTCTGGTTCTATGCTAACTTCATACCTAATCATCCCCCGACAACCTTTCAGGCTTATCCAACCTGATTGTGGGGCATGGCACTGCCCTATATTGTCCAATGGTATTAACTTTACCATAAAGGGAAGCCTTATACTCACTTCGTTCCGGAAGAACGCATTTTTGAGCTTTAAGGATATTCGAGAGTATTATTACCATATTGAAACCAATGTAGAAAAATGGAGTAAAATTCCTTGGCATATTACCATTTTGCACTTCTTACGAATATAGTTAAATGCATATTCTAGAGAAGATGGAACGCTTAACGCATGGATTACATCCATTCAAGTCCACTATGTGGCCGGCCAGAAGCCGCGATTCCTAAGGAATTTTCGCTATGGATGTACGTTTGGGATATCTAGGATGATTCGTGATGCGCCGTTTTGGGCATCCTTTTACCAGAAGTAAAGAAATCATACCTGGACACGTATTATACCTTAGCACCCTCCATCTTTTTACAAAGGATTCAAATGGGACATTTGTGGATAGATTCAACCACCCTACGGACCATTTAAATATTCTATAGTATTGGTTGATGCTTCTACACGTTTGTCACATGTGTGGTTGTTGTCCACAAGTTGCATTCTCCACACTGGTAGCTCAGATTAACAAGCTCAGAGCTCACCACCCTGATCATCTGATCAAATTTATTTGATTGGATAAGTTGGAGAATTTACATCGACATTTACATCGAACAATTTAAATCTCGATGGATATTGCATGTCGGTTGGGTTTTTTGAAAGTTGAACATCCAGTCCCATGTTCATACCCAGAACGACCCAGCAGAAGTATTCATTAAACGCCTTCAAATGATTGCGTGGTCGACTGGTCATACGTACCACAGTTCCCGACCTCTGCTTGGGGCCATGCAATATTGCAAGCAACCATGTTGGTCTGCCTGAGGCCCGTCACGACCCAACCTTATAAAGCGCGTGTCAGTTGGTTACCAGATACGAACCCGACATATCGCATCTACGCGTCTTTGGTTGTGCGGTCTATGTGCCATTTTGCGCCGCCCTTACGTACACAAAAACAAAGGGGTCCTCAGGGAAGGATGGAAATCTATGTCGGTTATGATTCTCCTTCTAATATTCATTACTAAATAACCTTTGACAGGCGATCTCTTTACCGCTCGTTTTGCGGATTGTCACTTTTATGAGACAGTCTTCCCGTCATTAGGGGGAGATAAGAACGTCACCGTTCCTAAAAAACGACGCGAATTATCGTGGACGTCCCCACTATGTCTCATATCGATCCCAATCTAGATCGTCAGAGTTTAACCAGACATTTCCTCTGATCTAGAAAAAGTGACGAGATCACATATACCAGCTGCAAATGTGCCTGCAAAGATGTGTACCAAATGTACTTCGGACCTTTGTCCTGAAAGTAGGAAAGCCACAATTATGGCCGACCCTCGTACATTGGCGGCTAGCCAATCAATCTATCTTATGCCAGAAGCATGGTAGATCACTCGGTTCGAGGATTCACTTCCCCAAAAGAGGAGGAACGTGGCACAAATGAATCCGCCCCTCGATCGCTGTCTCAGACCTTTTCATCTCATGAGATTAAATCCGGATTACTCCCGAGACCTGAAGTTCTTGGTCCAGTATACTAGTTTGGATGAGATATGGAATTGGAATGAGATTATCATAAATGATGTTTCATTTATATGGTACCGACATAAATGAAAAGCGACGATAACGAACTACGTTCCGTTGATTAATATCAACGTAGAACTGATTGGTCAACTAAAATAATCAATCTATGACAAATGAGATGAATGAAATAGTGCAATATGACGCCTTGTGGCGCAAGGTTTCTCTCATACGCCATGTGATTGATCGCAGCATTACAAACGTGGTTGTAGTATCTCTGGGATCGTGATATGAACCTACATGGAGTTTCCAAAGGACTTACATGTACTGATTCAAATAGTTCTAGACCACAAGAACATCCTCTTGATTCTCAAGCGGCCTTCACTTTACGGATGCAGAACTATCCGGGCATATGTGGTATACCCGTCTAAGTGAATATTTGATCAGTTAGGGATATATGCCCCTGCGTGTATAAAATCCGAAATTGCTAAAGTTGAGAAAATTAACTCGCATATCGGACTATAAGATGAATGATCTTGGGAGAACTTGACATTACCTCGACCTGAAGTTTCGAGCTAGTTTTGATGGTATTCTGGTCCACCACTCAAACTAGACCCAAAAGGTGTTACGTCTGAGTATATCCTGATCATCTGTATGCTAGATGCAAATGAGACCTTTACGGAGGGTATGGAGCATAAGGTTCCTTATTGGAACGTGAGGCAGCCATATCTAAGTACCATTGGATTTTGTTGTACTTAGCTCAAATGCACTAGATCAGACATCTTATGTGCTGATAATCTTTTGGCATAAAGCAGCACTGCGCCTAACACGCCACCACCAAATTTGGTGTTAAAGACGTTTTTCTGTTACTACGGATTTGGGCTTATTCCCTATGCATCTCAGAATAGATCACACCCCCTTGATCTTCGGAATGATGCCTACCTTGTGGGATTCGCTGAATCAGACCATTTGTCTGACCGCACAAGGTACGTTCCCGCATGGTTATGTCTTTACCATTAAGGAACACCGCAATATCTTGGAGGTTAATTAGATAGACCTTTTGTTGCGAAATCTTTTTGAATCGTTCCAAGACTCACTATGTCTCATCACGTGAGAGATATGGTCGAGAATTCTTGTTGAGCATATTAAAAAATCCTTGCGATTTTCATCCATCGTTGAGTCCCAACAACGATCCATGAATACAACGCTGTATGTATCGACCAGATCATGATACATCCAAAAAGTCAACACCAAACATATTGTATCTACATCAGCATGAGCATCAGAAGATTGAAGTCAAGCAGTCCAATCCCAGACAACCTTACCGACATCTACACAAAGTCACTACCAAAGTCTACCTTCCAGAAGCTTGTCCAATGAATTGGTATGCGTAACTTTCTCATTTGCAATGCTTGTAGTTTCATTTGGAAGTTTTGTCAAACTCATGGGGAGTATCTAGAAGTATACTCACTTGATCTTAATGTACTCTTTTTCCCTACGATTAGGAGCATTTTTCCCACTGGGTTTTTGCTACCTAACTAGGTTTTAACGAGGCACCCATCCTGGGCTGATCATACCCTTGTGAGCTCTTCTACTTGCGTCCAGAAGACGTATAGTTTTTGACTTAATGCAACTTCTCACTTTTCTCCTTAGCCTATGGGCTTTTCTCCCACCTTGGGTTTTGCCATAGTAAGGTTTTGTGAGTTTTACCACTCCTGCATTCTTCCGTCTTTTGAGACTCGCATTCGCTACTTGTGCCGACTAAACGAGACGATTTCATCCACTACTTCTACATTTGCCTGAAGATCTGATGCGCCATCTACTTGAATATTTGCACACTCAAGGGGGAGTGTTGTGACATATGTTCTTATCAATATGTGATTGTGTAAATCCTAAGTAGAGATAAAATAGGAATCCTTTGGGATCTAGAAGATCTTTCCTAATATACTTTGTATTACTTGGAGAGCAAGTTTCTCTCCTCCTAATTACTATAAATAAAGGCACAAGGACTGGGGAATTAACACACAATTCCTTAAGTCTATTCTCCAATCTCTCTTCTTCTCTTTGCCGCATATCTCTGTAAAATATAGGCCACAACATTTCTTAAATTTTAACATGTTGAACAAATAAATGGGCAGCTTTGGGATTACCTTGCAATCCTACGTTTCAAGACTCGAACTTGCACGAATATTGGACATGATCTGTAGCAAGAAGCAGTTTCATGGGAGTCAATCAGGTCATGAGGGCATTTGTTTGCACTTATGATCAACAAATCCAGACTGAACGATGGAATAATTAAGCCTGAAAAGTGCACAGATTATATAGATGGTTATTGATAAAATAATTAATTAAGCATACAAACTTGAAGAAAAATGAAATAAATAAATAATGGATTTGGCATGTATAGTTGCAAGAGGAACTTACTGCGTTGGAGTTTTCAGATGATGATGAAGATGAAGGGACTTGTTTCCATAGATCACTAAGATCAACAGATCTAGATTACTTTAGAGCTCTTCAATTTGCTGAGATAATTAGGTGTTGAAAGACCATAACGAAGTCTTCTTCCTTCTGCCCAAAAGGAAAGTTAGATTCCTCTTTTTCCTCTCTTTATTTTTCGTGGGGTCATATTGTTTTATCATTTTGATTGCTTTCTTATCTCCTATGTCCTACACGATTATTGCTTCTTTTTTTTTCATTTGGAGAAAATTATGTCAATGATCTCTCAACTTTAATTAAATTAGAATAATGATCTCTTAATTAAAAATTCATAATCATTGATCTCTTAACTCATTAAAATGTGCAGTTAAAGTCCATTTCGTCAACACCGCTAATATTTCCGTCAAAATGAGTCACGTGCTAGACACATGAGGCCGAATCAAAAAGTGAATATGGAAAACTAAATGAGAAAATTGTAGAAATAGTTTCTCAATTTTAATCTAATTGAAGCAATGATCTCTTAACTTTAATACAATTGTAGCAATGTTTCTTTCAACTTGACTTGTTTTGACAAAAGTTATGATGAAGTTGATAAAAATGACTATAACTGTACGTTTTGGGAAGTTAAAAAACCAATGATCATGAATTTTTAGTTGAAAGGTTATTGCTACAATTTCTTTTTTCCTTTATGCGATCGATTTTGGAGATGGCAAACCAAACATGAAACTTCGGGTGCAAAGGTGACTCTTAAACAACTGATCAACATTCCCTTGCAATGCTGATCATGTTATTTTGTGAGCGTGATTGGTTCAATTTTTTGTAGGCCCTTGTAGGTAATGTAGAGACAATCAACTTTAAACAGTAAAAGACACTGAAACAACTTGGGCCATATATAACACAAAGCAGAAGAAAATGCCGACACCAGATTTTACCATGTATTATGCTTTACCATCTTGTAGTTATACTACTTAATTACTCACAGAGCCATATTTGATTATGATCAATTTGAAGATGAAGAGCAAGTTTTATTAGCATATAATTAAAGGAGTTTTAACGAAACACTCCTGGTACTGTTAACTTAAAAACTACATTTGTACCTTTCTATGGTACTATTCAGTACACATTTAATTGTTATTTTTCATTAAAATTAAAGTTTTTTTGGACTTTCGTTGGTTTTCCTTATAATTAATGAACATCTAGATGTTTAAGGAAACGAGAGCAAGATTTTCATAAAGTGAAAATGCTAGCTTATTATGTTAATTTTGAAGATTAAGTGAGACGAATTAAGCTTTATGGAACTGAATCAGTGACATGTAATTTTAGACTTATGACAAGTAACTTGTGTCTTTGCCATGTGAAATTTGCTTTTCAATAATCATTCTCCCCGCAGTAAAATTAGTAGTGCTAAAATGAACCAATAAAATTAGTAGTGCTATAGTGAACCAATTCCGCAAAATACACAAAAGCCAATTCCATAAAAACAAAAAAGAAAGGCTTTTTATATTAACACCTCACAAAATGTTGAATGCACCCCACATTAAAATTTGGGGTGTGCTATCCACACACCATTTTTTACTTCTCACACACCTCTTGTTAATTTCTGTCCGTTGATCTTCTTCAATTCATCCGATCTGATGGCCGAAAACCAAAAAGGTGTGGGAGAAGTAAAAATGAGTGTGTGGATATTACACCCCTAAAATTTAATATTATATGACTTATTTACTCTACTATGCAATGATAATTTTGACCTTATTAGGTTTAAAAAATATATATAAATTTATAAGAGTAAACTGCCGATTTTCCCCCTGAACTGTCACCCAACTTTCGATTTCCCTCCTGAACTTTTTAATTTGAAAATTAAGGACTTAAACTAATTTTTTTGGCCAATTTCCCCCTACCGTTAGTTTTTCATAGATTTCATCCAAATTAACGTTAACTCTTATTATGTGCAAACCACGTAACTCTTCTTTATGGACAAAAATGTCACTTCACTAGACCTTCAGATACAAAAGCTATAGAATCACACATATTTGCATAGGTTTATATTTTAGAAATCTAAGGTTTTTTATTATTTTGAAGAATGAAGCAACCGAACTACCTACACATGTTGTGCACATACTTCCATTTAACAGAAATTTGGATGGAATGAATGAAAAATTAACAGCAGGGGCAAATCGGCAAAAAAAAAATAGTTTAAGTCCTTATTTTTCCAATTAAAAAGTTCAGGGGAAATCAAAATTTGGGTGATAGTTCAGGGGGCAAATCGGCAGTTTACTCAATTTATAATTACACCCCAAATCACTTTTAGCGTATTAGTTATCCTCTCAACTATCAAAACCCTCTCATCCTCCATTGTTGAACAAAAGCCTAACCAATGAAACTACAAACATATTGATTGAGAAAAATTGTTTTTGACGAATGGAACATGAAATCGATGTTTCGGAAGCTTCACATGAGGTAAGACTTCATATTTTTCATTGTTTTAGTGATTTCGATGACATCAATAATTATTTACTTTTGCGTTAGCTGCATAATTTAAACTTCTATATTCATATTCATCTTTTAAGGTTCATATTAATCTTGAGTACCCAGTAACATGAGTCATATTAGTGCTAGTCATATACTACTTTTACAAATTGAGGATAGCCATTCTCCACATAAACTCCTACTCTCAATCTTTTGCCATTTGATTGACGTCCGTTTCTCATCGCGAGTTTTTCTTTCTTTTTTCTTCTTTCTTTTCTTGTCACTGGGAGATGATCCGTGGAAAATGAGGTGAGACATGGCCTGCATTTAAAGAAATCTAAGACCGATTTAATTTTGATTTATTAATTAACTTCTACACCTGGATCATTAGCAGAGAGAGAGTCTTTATTTATCTTGTTCAAGACTAAGTCTAAAGACTTGTGAAATAAATCTGAGAACAATTCGGTTTTGATTTGAAATCTTTTGGCAAACTAAACGTTCAAATCGTTAGATTCAATCCCTGAAAATTAAAAATGAGTGTTATAAGATTTGAAAAATGTGGGGTGTAAATAAAATGTGGGGTGTATGTACAAAATATAAGAGGTATATTGAGAATGTGGGGTGTGTGGTATTATGAGAAAGTATGTGAGGTGTATTAAGATAAATTTTAAATGAAAAAACAAATGTAAAGTGTATTAAGTATGTGAGGTTTATTGGACAATTTGTAGGGTGTTAATATAATTAGCCAAAAGAAACCGACAGAAAGGAACCAACTTCTTAATTTCCTTTTTGTTGCATATGAATATTCACTTAACAATCTTCCCACAACCTCTCTCTGCTTCAATTAAGGTTAGATATGTTTCTTAATACTGGTTTGGTGAGATCGACTTTCCTCTTTTCGGTCCTATACAGAAATGAAAGCCTACCAGGTTACCAGTGCTAATAGAAATAAACTATATGGTTGGGACTTGTACATGGTTAGATCCTCGGTCTCCACGAATTATGCTAAAAGGCGGACTAATCAGATGATTATCAAACACTACAAAGGCCATCGTTCAAGCGGCGCCATGCCTGCCAATGAACAGCTCCGTTCACAAGAGCCTGAAATTTGCGAGAATCAAAGCCTTTACAAACGGGATCAAAAGAATGAGGACCACTCCACAATCCTCTAGCAAGTGAATAAACCCTCATAAAAAGTATTCGGATCCTCGTATTCCAACCACACGAAGAAATCTATTGCGCTTGGGAACACTTGGATATTCTAGCTTGCAGTACTCATCAAAAGCATGGTTATCATAATGCAAATAGTAATTCAGCTCCACTGGATTGTCTCCACGAACACATTGCAGAAGGAGGTGGTGGGTGCCAAACTGGTTAAAATCGATGGTACAGCTGAGGTGGGTGCGAATAAAGCTGGGATTTTTTATCATGGAGTTCCAAGGCTTGGACACCGAGGTGCATCGGTGTTAGTGTTTAAGTGTTTTTAGCTGAAATAAAACATTTCAGTTTACCTGTTTTAATTATAGCCTTTGGATTACATTCCAAATGGATGCTCTAGATTAAGTGAGAGTTAATGATATAGAGTGACAACTGTAGCTATCTCATAGGATAGATGAAATGAATGGTTGTGATGTATTTTCTCTGATATGAGAGAGAAATGTGCTAATGCTCTGTAATGTGAGTGTTTTCGGTAATGTCCATTCGATTGTCAGAAAGAAGAGAAATGAAACGTCTTGTTCACTCATCTTTGTGAATACTCTCTGCAACTCCTTGTTTTCTTTTATACAAGAAAGCTCCCAAAACAACATCAAATCTATAAACTAACATGGCCTCAGAGCCAGGTTGCATCCTCTGCAACTGGGCGTGAATCTGTGAAGCTCACAGTGAAGAGCTCGAACTGACCGTTGAGTTCTCACTGAAGAAAACGCGGAGAAGAAAGTGTAGTGATCTTAGATCTCGTCTCACATGGCTGGATCGAGTGGAGCTGATCTTCGTGCACCGGTTTTCAATGGTGAAAACTTTGATTTCTGGCAGATTCGGATGAAGACAATATTCCGATCGCACGAGCTATGGGATATCGTCGAAAATGGTGTCGAAACTTCGACGAATAAGGATGAAGAACTTACTGTAGCTGAAAGCAAGTTATTGAAGGAGAATATAGTCAGAGATGCGAAGGCACTTGGAATCATCCAAGGTGCGGTTTCGGATCAGATCTTTCCGAGAATCGCAATCCAAGAGACTGCAAATGCTGCTTGGAATGTGCTGAAACAAGAATTTGTGGGAGATAAACAGGTACGGGCTGTGAAACTCCAAGGCTTACGCCGGGGTTTTGAATATACTAGAATGGGTGAAAATGAAGCTTTCTCTGCATATCTAGTTAGGTTATTTGATTTGATTAGTCAAATGAGAAGCTATGGTGAGGAGATAAGTAATCAGAGAATCGTTCAAAAGTTGCTAATAAGTTTACCTAGGTCCTATGATAGTATTGCTTCTGTGATTGAAAATACTAAGGATCTAGATATTGTTGATGTTCAAGATGTGGTAGCAATTCTCAAAGGTTATGAGCAAAGAATTGATCGGCATGATGAATCTCATACTGAGAAAGCATTTGTTAGTCTCAGTATTGCTCCAAAACAGAATAAGTACAATGGGAATCAAGGGTTCAAACCACAGAAGAATTGGAAGTCTAAATGGAAGAAAGGAGATCATAGACCTGCAAATCAAACTGGAA